TGATTTCCTGTTAATTTTATAATTTTTTAAATAAAAGTTTTTAAATTCCAGTGTTTTACTTAAGTTTCAAATTATCACCTCGACTGATTCTTGGCGTGTTTACTCTAACATATTTTCTTATTTTATGAATAATTTATAGTTTTTTTATGATTATTATTTCCTTTTTCATGATCTCCTCAATAAAATTCTTATCTTTGATAAAAAAGAGTAAAAACGAGAAAACTCAATAAATACACGACTATAGATTAGCTTGTTCTTTTTTGCAAAAACGGCTTGGCGACGAATTTTGTTCGCCAAATCAGAAAACAGACGCCATGAGGATAATGCAGCATCTGTACTATATACAACCTTTAACTTAGAACATGGTTATCTGACTCTTAATTTTAATTTAAAATTTTTGTTTGTAAATTTTTAATGGTTCATTTGCTTTTAATAACTTTTAACTTTCTAATTGTTTGTTTACTTTTAAATTAATCTATTAGTTTATCTTAAAGATCATAGCTTTTGTTTACATTTCATCAAGCTTGGTATATTGTTTAACTATCTAACTTCGAAACCTAACTTTGTTTTGTTTTAATTTAATTGTCTCACTGTTTATTTTATATTTTTAATATTAGTTAATTTTAAACTGTTCTCTTCACCCCACACCTAAGTATCGTCATTATATTCAATTCAATAAAAAATGTATTTTCCCAACTTCGGCTGGGTTTTAATAACATTTTCACCAAAGGCCTGATGGCGCCATCTGTCCGCGAGCCAGTCAACCAGCAATTGATGATTGTATTTTGTATGTTTTTATGTTATTTAAGTTACTGTTATCTTAATTCCTATATCTTATTTTTATTCTTAGCTTTTAAAATTTTTTAATTTTAACTTTAATCTTGTATTTTTTGGGGGGAGGGCATCGTCAACGGACTCCTAATTGTACCTATAGCTTTGTCTTTTTCGATCTCTTGTTTTAATTGTTCTCAAGCAAGAGATGTTTTTCCTAAATTTAAATTGTTCTATTTTTTATTTAATAATATTCTATAATATAAGCAACTTCCATTTAATGCTAATTTTTTAACTAATTTAAGATGTGGATGTTTTGTGGTTCTTAAAATCACCAAGGAACTCCGCAAATCGGTACGCCTCGTTGCCCCGCGGCATCTATTCCCGAAATGTTTGAGGCGGCAACCGACGGAAGCTACTCACACGGACAGATCCAGGTCTGGGTGTTCCAGGTTGATGTAGAACATCTCTGCTTGTACGTGATCCCTCAGCTTCTGCAGTGTGAGCTCCGCCTCCTTCTTCATGCTGCGGTCGATGCGAAACAGCACCTCCTGCTTTGGTAGCGGGGGTACCGGTTCAGCTGTTCGAAATAAATGAATAAATGATTACTGACGATTTCCTAGACCAGGGGTCTCCAAACTTTAGCCTTTAGGGCCATACTATTTAATCCAGTAAGTACCAAGGGCCAAAACCGTTTTAGTTTTTCTGCCATTATCGATAATTTCTAGACTAGTCGCCGAGTACGCGCTCTGAGCGAGCATACGCTTGCTAACTACAAACTATTGTCAGTGGAAAATCACAATTGCATAAATCTCATTAGTATTTTTTTGCAAGCGGATACCCTGCAGTTTCATTCGCTTTAATTTAGCTTTTCCGTTCCTGAGGGATTTTCAGGATAAAAATCATATGTTTGATTCAGGATATATACATGTAGGATTTATTTGTGTGGTAATCAGCAGGCGGCGACACCTTACGGTCTTTGACAGAGCTTGTTTACGATGTGGGGAGTATTCAACTTTGAACTCTGACCCGTGAAGAAGTGGCAAGATCCCCGTAAATGAAAAGAGGAGAAGTCGAAACTGGAACGGGCAGCGTCAAGAAACGAGAGAATGTTATTGTCATGTATTAATATTTGATGTAAATATCGCTGTAAATGTAACCGTGCTTCATTAAATATGTGTTGTTGAGAGAAAACCAACGCATCGTTGATGTGTTTTGAAATACACCCCTAGACACCCACTTCAAAAGTTCAGCTTTGGTTAGACTGGTAGAGAAGTCTAACAAAACTGTAGGTTCGACCGGGATGAATCTATTGAAACCGGTGTAAACCTTACATACAAATAAACACATACAATAATACATACATACAACCCTACATACAATAATACATATATATGCGATACTCTTTACCCCAACATAACTACCGAGGGTAACCGCGGGATGTTCACCAGTCTACAATGTTAGTGGGATTCATTTCAATTATTTGTTAGTTGTTATGCTTAAGTTAAATTTTCTGCGTATTATGCTTGTCATTAAGCTTTACCTAGCAAGTTAATAAAACCGAGTTATTATCGTTCTGTGTTTTTTTTATACAACTTATTACAGAAACAATAAGCTATTCGCTATTGCGGGCCGGATGGATGACACTGGCGAGCCGGATTTGGCCCGTGGGCCGCAGTTTGGAGACCCCTGTCTAGACTATCGACAGATTTTTTATGAAGCATTGATATAAGCGCCGTCATGAAATTCTATCCCGTCCGTCTTATTTCAATCCCTTCTATTAGCTCACACTCTCCCTATATATATCTTGTTCAAATTTTCAATCGTTCATAAAATACTTTTTATTCATCCACCCAAGTTCAAATACATTTTTTTTTTTTAAATTTGTAGCGTATGACACTTGATGTTAATACAAAAATATCAATTCAGTAATTAAATTTAATTCATTAATTTTAGTTTTTTTTTTAGATTCACGTTGCATATATCTACCAATAGATGGCGCCAGATAAACTTTTAAAAAATGAATGAAAATTATTTGTAAAGGACTTTTCTGCAATAGAGTGAAAAAAAAAGTAAGAATTGACTTAAAAGTAATTTTTTTATATATTTACGATAAATCTTTACTCTCGAGTATAACATCAAATCTTTCTCCCCAACCCATGCCAGGTTCGATCAGAATGACAGCATACATTACAGACACTACTTTTAGAAACAAAAAGACCCCATGGTGATTGTGACACTACATACAGGCACCACTCATTGACAGTTCGATGCCTGGGAGCACCGATGGGACACGAAAATGCAGGACAGTTACTTCTGAAATTCCCCTGGAAGGCATCATGTCACCACACTTCTGTCGACACGGTCAACATTTACCTTGGATGTCCCCGTATAAGACATTTCGCCAGTCGCCAACTTGTTGGTGGAAAATTAAGCTTGAAAGTCTCGCAGTAGACATCCTGTCACCTTTGGTCGGTGGACAGTTACTCATGAAAATCCCTCAGTAGACAATATGTCATATTCATCAGTGGACAGTGAAGGCTTGAAAGTGTCCCGGTAGACATAATGTCAGTCACTTACTTTGGAAATTCCCACTGAAGACATTGTGTTGCCAACCCGTTGGCGAACAATTAACTTTGATAATCTACTCTCTGAAGACATCATATTGCCTACTGCCGTTGGACGGTTTTGTCGCAAACACAAATGGAGAACAAATTTTTCATTAGAAAATATTAATAGAAAAAAATTCATTCTATAGCAGTGTTTTTGATAATTATATATACATAATTGATATATATAGATACCTATCGATTCAGGTGGACAATAAGTGATGATGTTCAGAACTTGACAGCACTGTTTGGATGCTTGGGAGCACACACACGCGACACGAAAATGCGGGACAGATACGCCTGAAATTCAACCGAAAGGCATCATGTCGCCTATTTTCTCAGGCGACAGTTACCTTGAAACAGTCCCCGTAGAAGACATTTCGCCGATCGTCAGCCTGTTGGGGGACAATTAATCTCTCCCCCTCCCGGTAGACATCACACTTTCTCGTCGGTGGACAGTTACCTTTTGAAAACCTCTCAGCATAAACCTCACCTGAAATTCTTCCGGTAGACATATTATCAACCTCTTACTTAGAACTTCCCGCGAATACAGGTTACCCACTCAGCAATGGAGAAGTACCTTGAAAATCCTTTCCCGAAAAGCATCATGTCGCTCACTCGTCGAAGGACAGTTGCCTTAAAATCTCATCGAAAGCCCTTTTATTAGCCTCTGCCCAGTCTACAGTTATGTTGGAAATCCTTGCGAGGAATATTCTGATGCCAATTGGTCGGTGGACAATTAATATTGAAATCTCCCAGGATGACACTATGTTGGCCCTTCCTTAGTCTACAATTAACTTGGGAGACATCAAGTCCCGTGAACATCATGTTCCGTCCATCAATCCTTGGGAGACATACCTGGGAGTCCCCAACCCATTGGCAGATAATTAACTTTGAAAGCCTGTTCCCTGAGAGAATCATGTTGCTCACTCGTCGATGGGCGTCGACTTGTGACCAACACAAATTGAATATGAAACGTCCATTGGTAAGTAAAAATCATTCTATAACAGTTTTTTTTTATAATTCTAAGTACATTATCAATATATACCGCTATATAACAATTCAGGTGGACAATAAATGGTGATGCTCAGTACTTGAAAGTCATCTTTTCTTTATTAATAATAACGGTTTTGGATCGATTATGATTCGTTTTTTAAACTTTACGAACTTATTCTTGTCGTAAATAATTAAATGCAAAAAAAAAAAAAAAACACAAGTTAAGAATTAAAAAATAAATGTTAAAATTTTTTTTGCAATCGGCTGTTCCTCTTAGTTAGTTTTACATTAATGAAAGCAAAAAGTTTTAATTCAAAAACGTACAGCTGATAACAAAATTAATAATAAAAATTAATCTACCAATGCAGTTGACAACAAAATTAATAAAAACAAACATACCAATGCAGCTGATTCGTTGACAGCTTCTTCTAGAATTCCGTGGATGCAGTCGACACATTTCTCTAACGGGTATTCGAACTGGGCTATCAATTTTCTGTTGACGCAATCGAGAGACAGCGATGGGAATGATATGGAGCCTCTGCAAGAAAAAAAAATGAATCTCAATTATGCATTTGATGGATAGGACCAAGCAATGTGTTATTTTATAACAACTTTATAGTGGCCAACGACCATACCATGCTGAATATACCGGTTCTCGTTAGATCACCGAAGTCAAGCATCATTGGGCGTGGCCGGTACTTGGGTGGGGAACACCGCGTGCCGTTGGCATTCACAAATTTGGGACCTGAATGGCCGAGGTGTTAGCGCTCTGGCGCTCGGTGCCATAGGTTTCGGGTTCGAATCCAGGCGGTTCCATGGATGTTGTAGTGGTTCGAATCCACTTTAAGCCGTATGTCCCGGTCTCCTATGACTGTAAGAGCGTCACGGAGCCAAAGTCAGACTTCTACCTACGGGGTGCTCCATCACATCAGAAGCTGCTTCCTTCCCCCTTCAATCATGAGTACGTATGGGCTCGTGGGCTTGGCCAGCCAAGTGGGATAAGGAACAACAACAACTTTAAAGTTGAAGGCGATACAATAACAACAGATTATTAATTCATTTAAGTGACTTAGAGAAGCGTAGACGATTGCTCAAATCTCGGCTTTAAGTGATCGCGTCGTTTTTCTGATGTTCGAAGAAATTTCTTTTCAGCGAGAATTGCCATGCTTTCTCTTCTTATCTGAAAAGTCCTCATTATCAATGACACAACGCAATGTGGGTGGTTTGCAGGGAAAACGACTGTCTAGCTGTGAATTTGTTTCTACTTTCTTGTTTCCTCATGGATAAATAGCTCTGCGTGTATAATTTGTAAAAAAAAGAAGAAAAAAAAGCAGAAGAAAAAGAAATCGAAGTGTAAGCTGGCGCCAGAGGAATTATAAACATCCTCATCTGCGTGGGCGTGATCTTGATGAAGGAGAATGAAATGCAATATCGGGAGAGTGTGTTTGGTTTCGAATAAAGGAGTTGAGTTTTTACAGTTCACTGAAAGCATACACGTTTTTTTATTTTGAAACCATTACCACCGTTTACTTTCTTTTTCATTTCAATAAAAAACAATAAAGAATTGAAAATTATGTTACAGCTCTTTATGTGCTATTAACATTGCGATCCGTCCTTTTATGTTTTGCAAACTGATTCTTCACGCCTAGCATCGTTTCGATACTTCGCTTCAAAGGCCCTTATCACTTGCGTCTATTGATTTTACCTTTATTAGTTATTAGATAGTTTGCTTTTTATAATTGAAATTGTTCTTCGATGCATTTTCATATTTCTTCTGATGAATTACGTTGTGAATTTTGTCGACACTTTTTTATTGCCACGGTATTTAAACAACTTAGTATTCCTTGCTTAAAAAAAAAGCGTTAGTATTAAAAAGTTGAAAAATTTAGTCATTCCAAATATTTTGTATATTTCTGCGAATGATGTTAGCTTTAGAAAATTTAAATTTTAAATTTTTTAAAATCTCTACAATAACAAACTGAAGTGAATTACTTACCTCAGACCATTTAAGTTAGTTATCAAAATAGTCATTTCTTGATCATCTGGTACCAAGTCCTTCACATCATTAGAAAAATAAAATACGTAAATGTTAGTTAAAAATTCGTATATACACTAAGATAATCACTATGAGCAAAAAATTACGAGGTGTTTCTCTGCCTTAGTAAATATTAAAAATAAAATAATACATTTTAATTATGTGAAATTTTTTTTCAGAAAAAAAATATAAATAGCGAACATAAAAATAAAATCACGAATAGCTCAAAAAAAAAAAAAAAAAAAAAAGGAAATAATTTCATATATGGTAACTGGATATATGTTCGATGTTTATTATCTCATATATGGCAACTGGATATACACTGACGTGACAAAAGTCATGGGATAGCAATATGCAAATGTTCAGATGGCAGTAGCATCGCGTAGAACAGGTATAAATGCGCAGTGCTTTCGCAGAGCTTTCATTTCTGTTCAAGTTATTCATGTGAAGAGGTTTTGACGTGATGATGACCGCACGACGGGAATTAACAGACTTTGAACGCGGAATGTTAGTTGGAGCTAGACGCATGGGTCATGCCATTTCGGAAATCGTCAAATTCAACATTCCCAGATCCACTGTGTCAAGAGTGTGCCGAGAGTATGACATTTCAGGCATAACATCCCACCATGGACAGCGCAGTGGTCGACCGCCTGCACTTAACGACCGAGACCGGCGACGTCTGCAAAGAGTCGAAAATTCTAACAGACAAGCAACACTGCGTCAAATAACCGCAGAAATCAATGTGGGATGTACAAGGGACTTGTCTGTTAGAACTGTGCGGAGAAATTTGGCTTTCTTGGGCTATTCCAGCAGAAGACCGACTCGAGTGCCTTTACTGACAGAACGACATCGCTTGCAGCGACTCTCGTGGGCACGTGAGCATATCGGTTGGTCCCTAGATGAATGGAAAACCGTGGCCTGGTCCGATGAGTCACGATTTCAGTTGGTAAGAGCTGATGATAGGGTTCGAGTGTGGCGCAGACCCCACGAAGCCATGGACCCAAACTATCAGCAAGGCACTGTTCAAACTGGTGGTGGCTCCGTAATGGTGTGGGCTGTTTTTCATGGCATGGACTTGGTCCTCTGGTGACTGGACCGAACATTGACTGGAAATGCTTATGTTCAGCTACTTGGAGATCACTTGCAGCCATTCATGGACTTCATGTACCCAAACAACGATGGGATTTTTATGGATGACAATGCGCCATGTCACCGGGCCACAACTGTTCGCGATTGGTTTGAAGAACATTCTGGACAATTCCAACGAATGATCTGGCCACCTAGATCGCCCGACATGAATCCCATCGAGCATTTATGGGACATCATCGAGAGGTCTGTTCGTGCCCAAAATCCTGCACCATCAACGCTTTCACAATTATGGACGTCTATCGAGACAGCATGGCTCAATATTCCTGCAGAAGACTTCCAACGACTTGTTGAGTCCATGCCACGTCGAGTTGCTGCACTTCGCGGGCGAAAGGAGGGCCGACACGATATTAAGAGGTATCCCATGACTTTTGTCACTTCATATTGTGTTTATTTGGATGGATGTTTATTTGGATATATATTGGATGTTTATCATCTCATACATGTTAACTGGATATATATTAGATGTTGATTATCTTATATAATCTCATATATGGTAACTGGATATATTGGATTATCATTTCATACATGGTAACTGGATATTCGAGATATGATAACTGATATACTTGGTAACTGGTGTTATCAGAGAGGGGAAAAAGTAGTGTCTCTAACAATGGACACTACTTGAATGGGGATATTAATTTTTTTTTAATCTAATAAATACCTTATTTTTTTGAGGGAAAAAAATTTGGACTAAAGAAGTTTAATGCATTTCGACTAATAAAAAGAACCAAAATAAATATGAAAATAATAAAATAACAATGTCATCCTAGAAGGTGGAGTTGTAAGAAATCGTTATGGTTTGATTGGAATTTGTTTCGGTAAAGGTGCTCACCAGTCTCAGGTTGCTCTGCACTTCCGTGTTGAGCTTGTAGTTGATGTAAGCGCCGGCAGACAAGTGCTCCATGTCGATCAGTTCGGACTGACCCATCAGTTTCAACTCGATGTCTTTGATGAACTTGTTCACCAACCTTTTGAGGAAAATTAAGAAGTTCATGAGAGTATTTCTTCAGGGACATCGATACATGCGCATCAATAATCCATTTGAATAATATGCATCAATAATATATAATCATTATACACAAACCTAGCAAATTATCTGTTCAATTTTTTATGACTTCAATTTAACACTTATCAAATTATCTATACTTTTCGATTTCAATTTGACAGCTTAATAAATTTATTAACCTATTAATAGTTTAAAATTATTTTTACAGGACTTACAAAAGCCACTCTCCTATGAAATGACTCACTATTCTTCTCTGTAACTGGAAAAGTTTATAAGTAAGTCATCAAATGTCTATTCAAAGCAATTTCCTTTTTGCAAGATTTTAGTAATTTTAATCCGAATGGAAATATGTAAACTCATTTTTCCTTAGTTTCTCTTAAATTTTTGAAGGTTTTCACATTCCTCGTGTTCTGTCGCATAACATTCACCATTCATCATGTGCAGGGCCGGATTTAGATAAAAAGAGGCCCTAGACCATTCCACTCATGAGGCCCTTTCACCTCCCATTTTTAAGTTTGTAAAAACATCATTACCGTGATATATATCAATATGTTAAATGAATCATGTTGCGATGGGTACTCATCTTTATAAGAAATGTGGCACAGATAATAAATAAAAAAAAAAAAAGTCGAGAACACTTATTTAATCATTTAGTGTCAGCCCCTATATAGTACTTGTAACAATAACTAACCAAACATAACACGCAACATTTACAAAGAAACACAATTCAAATAATAAAAACGAAACCACTCACGAAAATAAAAAATGCAATAAAAATGATCCTATTTTCTATCAAATTAAATGAAATATATTCAATACATTGAAGATTAAAGCAAATTCAATTCAGACAAATTTATTCCATAATAATTCGCATTTAAAGTTTAAGTTATTCAAGAACAAAGTAGCATAAGGCACGCCAATATTTGCCTCAGCAATCAGTGAACGTATGAACTATACTTTGACACAATCTAGTCTATACAAACGAACAGACCGAACGAACCGAACGCATTGATCTTAACCAATTCATTTTTATGCTTGTTTATGAGTCATATGTTTAGAATTTCTCTTTATTTTTGATTCAGTGTTTTAGTATTGACTGTTTTTAGAATAGTGTCATTCTAATTTGGCTGATAATTTGAATGTAGGCCCCTCTTGATCTTGAGGCTCTAAATCTTGAGGAATCTTGATCTTGAAGCCTAGTTAGCCTATAGGAAAATCCAGCCCTGATCATGTGACAATGTGATGTGAAGGTTCTGTCACATCACATTCACCATTCTGTTACATTCATCATGTGATAATGTATTGTGAAGGTCCTATAACATCACATTCACCATTCTGTTACATTTATCATATGAAATGTGATGAGAAGGTTCTGTCACATCACATGCACCATGTGATAATGTGATGGGAAGTTCTGTCACATCACATACACCATGTGACAATGTGATGGGAAGGTTCTGTCACATCACATTTATCATGTGATAATGTGATAGATATGAAGGTTCTGTCATATTAAATTTACCATTCT